AGTGTCCTCCCTGGCTGATCGTCATACTCGACTCGGAGTAAAAGCAGAGATTGAGTTTTTGTGTGTGTTGCCACAAATGCATTACTTGCCTCAGAATACGCCTGATATACTTGAATAACAACAGTGATAAATGTGTTTAAAGCATTATGTTTTGTACAATGAAACGTGTATATGTATATATATATATATATATATATATATATATATATATATATATATATATATATATATATATATATATATATATATATATATATATATATATAAATGGAAACAACGGATAATTTTAGCTTCGTCTTTATTCACATTTTCCGTGTGATTTTATAGATTTATCTTATCCACGTTTTCATTGTGGATTTACATATATATATATATATATATATATATATATATATATATATATATATATATATATATATATATATATATATATATATATATATATATATATATATATATATATATATAATGAAGAGGAGAACTAGGAAAAACAAACAGATTAACATAGTTATCTAAGTTTGGGGTCCTGGACGAGTTCACTTCTGTATATCAGCTTAGAATTCATAATATTTACTAAATTCACAAAATGGTTGTAATCCTTAAGGACAATCGGTGTTATCCTTGTACTGAGCAGTGGAACGACGAGACTCCATGTTGAAAAGTTACAGTGTGATCTTCTCTTTCTAGATTCGTGCTCTTCACAAAGTTCATAAACAATTTTCTGAAATTTAAACTTAGTAACCATAGCCTGCAGCACTCTAAGACTTACATAAATTGCTTAATAAAACATCCTACAATCAGAAAATGTTGAATATACTTAATGACCACTAAATTTGCCCCTATCCTAGACGACTTATGCAAGGCAATTCTCAAGTATGAGGACAAGATAAATAGATTTCTTCGTAAATATAAAAACAATTATGTCATTCATGACTCCTCCTTCTTAAAACTCTTTGTTTGCGGGGTCTAAACCAGGACCTGTACGGTCTAACGCAGGTACCCAAGGATGAGTGTCCCTTACGCTCTATATTGTCTGCCCGAGGCACCATCAATTACAGTATATTATGTCCAAATTCCTTGTTCCATATTGTTACCAATAACTTATAATCAATTATCTGTTAAAGACTCTTTTAGTTTTGTTAAGGAACTAACCAGTATCTCGTTCAACAACTGTGTTATGGCTAGCTTTGATAATTATACAGTCTCTATTTACCAACATCCCTCATGCCGAAACTATTGACATGTTCAGATGAATTGTTCTCAAATACTGATACAGTTGATGTATTAAATAGACCACAATTTAAAGATTTTAAAAACTGTCTTTAAATGAATGTTTGTTTGTATTTAATAACAAAACTTATAAACAATGCGATGGTGATGTTATGGGATCGCCCTTATGTCCCACGTTGGTCAACTCTTGCCTCTGTCATCATGATAAGTTTTGGCTAGAATGTCCCGCCAGTTTAAGTCTTTGTTCTATCGACGATATATTGATGCCATACTTTTAAATTTCACATCACTTGATTACGTCCTTATGTTCCTAAATTACCTAAATTCGAAACATGGCAACATCAAATTTACTTGTGAATTAGAGAAAGACAATATTCTACCATTCCTTGATGTTAATATCCACCGTCTCCATAATAGATTCGATACAGCCTTATACAGGAAACCAACATTCACTAGTTTGAGTACAAAATTTTCTTCATTCATTCCTCTTAATTACAAACGAAATCAAGTGCGTACTCTTACCGACAGAGCCTTTAATATATGTTCAAGCTATTTCCACCTGGACGTTGAACTGAAATATATGAAGGAACTACTTGTTAACAATCCCGTATTAGGCCGAAACAGTTTTACCTTAGAAACAGACGTAAGAAGCTTCTTAGTGAATTCTCTTTACAAATTTCTCTCAGATTAGTCTTCAAAGTCCAGAGTTCAGTTAAAAGATTTTATAAAACTAAAACTAAGGACACCATACCACACACACTTGCAATCCTCAGTTGTTTATCAATTTACTTGTGTTCGTTGTAGGGCAGCATATATACTCCCTGTAGGTAAAACAAAAAGATGCTTGAAAACTCGTATCCATAAGCACTTGGGCCGTTCCGTCCGAACCGCCACTATGGCATTATTCATGACCACACGTTCTCAGAGTCTAATTTCTCAGTTCTTAGCAGGAGCACCTGTGAAACGGACCTCCTCATTATGGAAGCCTTGTATCAATATAAAGTAAAGCCATCCATTTGTGATATGGCTTCCTGTTAATTGTTCTGTTTTTCTCACTAAGGCTCGTCTCAAATAAGGTAATACCTCCTGTATGTTTTAGTTTGTTCTGATTTTGTATTTTTTAACGTAGGTCTCCCGTCATTTTTATTGGTTTTAAATTGCAATGCTATGTTTCTTTGAAAAGTTTTTCGGAAGGAAAAGTTTAAAATAAAATTCCGCTTTTCTTGTATATTACCCGTAATTAAGAAAAATGAATCGGTTTTCTAGGCTTTGATGGTGGAATATGATTTTCCAAAACGTTAGTGAATAAAGAAACCCAATATCGCCAAGATGTTTGTATTATGTTTGTGTTTTCCCTGGTACTCCTCTTCATTATGAGACTACGCTTTCCAAGTAACAAGTCGATTGCTGAAATATATTGATTATGTCAGAAAAAATAAACTAAAACTACAGTAATATATCGCAAAGAAATAATATTTTTCCGAAATTTAATAAATGCTTCCAGAGTGGCATATTGTAGGTAGCAGGTAACTAGGTACTTACTGTACGTATATACTGTAGAACAACATCACTACACTAATTACCCATTAATAACTAATTGATAATAAAATTAGTAATGATTACGCTGTTCATAACGCTATTATGACAATGGTAATGCTAATAATAATATAAACAATGATAATAACGATATTAATAGTACAATATTAATAATGAAACCCCAAAAAAGGCAGATGGGTTATAATACTGTTGCCTTTCCAAGTCACTTCAGGAGAAATTCAAAGTGTTCTCAGGCCAACTCAGTCCCACAAACAGATGTGATGGTTTGTCTCTAGATTACCAATGACCATTCACACAAGGAAAGGCACATTGCAATCACACACACACACACACACACACACACACACACACACATATACAATCTGCCAACAATTCTTTACTTATTTCTGGTGTTTTCTTCCAAGGGGTTGATTCAGAGGCTGCTCAGGACCATAGCGGGTTTATGTCCATATGCACGTCGATGTTTCATGACAGTCATCACCACGTCAGTTTGAAGTGTGGAGAAAATAGAGAGTGAAAAAAAAAATTGATAAGGTAGGGCGAGTATGAAGACAATGTGAAACTGACAAAACTGGAAAGAGATGGAGAGACAGAGACAGAGACAGAGGGAGAACAGTTATGGAGGAGGAAGAGGAGACAAAACACGGGGGAAATCAGAGGGAGTAGTCATGGGTGAGGTGACGCAGAGGCTTAATGATTCTCTTATTGCCAGTGGGACCAGTGATGCGAGATTAATTTACACGTGGCTAAGTCATCAAGCGAGCTGCTCCACCAACCAACCCCCAGCCTCCCATCCCAAGGTACACACACACACACACACACACACACACACACACACACACACACACACACTCTCTCTCTCTCTCTCTCTCTCTCTCTCTCTCTCTCTCTCTCTCTCTCTCTCTCTCTCTCTCTCCTTTCCTTAACTGCGGATTTACGATCGATTTCACCAATTACTTGAATATGTTGTTGAAATTAATTATTTTACTGGAAAAAAGCTCCTTGATAGCTGAACGACTCTCTCTAAGATGACATGCGATAAAACGACAGGTAATTTCATATTTTATCACCCAACTTCTACTGATTTCTCGATCAGTTTTGTGTTCCCAGGTGATAGCAGCGTAACCTATTCAAAGTTGATCGGTTCAAATACATACAAGTCGCATACATCATCATGGAATTTTTAAGTTATAATGGTATATATGTAATATTCAGAAATTCAGCGTAATTTCAAACACCGCGCCATGGGCGATACTGCGTTTTCAAGGTCGACTGAGGAAGATAGCGCTCCTGCCTGTAGTGACGAAAGCTAAGGTGCTCTGTTGTTTCCATTTTCCCGTGTGATTTTATCAAGATATATATATATATATATATATATATATATATATATATATATATATATATATATATATATATATATATATATATATATATATATATATATATATATATATATATATATATATATATATATATATATATATATATATATATATATATATATATATATATATATATATATACACGCACCCATTCACACACACACATAGAGTCACACACACACAGGTCGACGTTAATGTGTATAGTAAAACACTATAGCTCCCGGTATTGTTGATAAAGACCAATGGTGCAAAGCGCAATGTCTGTGTGGAGGGAAGGAGAGAGGCATGCAGTGCAGTAACATCCTGGGCGCCTGCTGTATATCAGGTAAAGGCTTTAGTATCTTGATTTCTGGGACAGTAACTTAGTCTATCCTAACCTAGCCACTTGAATTTCTTTGCAGCTTGAATTAAACATATAAATTGCCTACTGTACTCTCAATGAGAAGAAAGGTCTAAATGAAAGCAAAAGATGTAAAATGTTTCAAGTGCGTATCAAGATGCTATAAAATTAAACGGCTTTCTTTTCATCTTATGAAGAATAATAGACATGGCTTACAACAAAGGCACTATCGTTTTCTACCCTATGAGAGTGGAAGATGACGACGGGAATTTTCTAATTTAAGAATTAAAAAATAATGTGTATTAAGAGAGTGAGCCAACGATGAAAAAAAAACACACTAAGACACAAAATGCTGCTTCTTGATTTTCAGACGTTGGATGAAAAGGAAGTGGATAGAATGATAGAATAGTCGAATAAAACTATAAAATAATGAGAGGCAGGCATGGAGGGACTAAGGTTGGGAGGTTGTACAGATATTTTTATGAACTAACCTTCCGGGCAGTGCTTACGGCCATCACACCAAAGCTCGGCGGGTATACAGGCATTTAGCTCTGGACACAACTCCTTACACGGCATTTCAGGTGGGCTGCCCTTCCATCCTCCCAAGCCACCGGTGCTGGGTGACACAAAAGCATCTCCCGTCCTCTCTGCGTCTGTTGGCTTCCAGGTCGTAAGCCAACGCAGCCGTAAACGCGATGCACTACGCGGCTCCCAAACCACTACAAGGGAAGAGTCGTGGCCGTCAGCTTCTCGGAAATCTAACTCACGGCTGGTAGGTTTGTCGTCTGTCTCAGCGTCTTCGTTAGAACCGTTAGTGTTAGACTGTTCATCAGGCGGCTGTTGACTCATCAGTCGTGGCTCAGGAGGAGGCCAGAAGAAGGTGATGGAGGCTGCTGGGTCGGGAGAAGGACACACACCAAGCACAGGTTCAGCTCTCCCTGGAACATGGAAGAATAATCGAGTATCGGAAGCGCAGGAGCCATTGTCCAGGCTAGCGCGCGGAAGAGTCAAGAACAGAGTAAAATTTGGCGGCGTCTTCAGAAGCCAAGGAAAGCCCTCACAACTGGCCTTAGAGTTTGAAGATGAAGAAGCTGCTACAACCTCCCCAGCGGCTCCAGACAGCACCCTTGTCGCCCCTAGACACCCGGGCGCTTTCAGAAACTCGTAAGTGGCATTGAAGGAATAGTGTCTATAGTCTTCGTGGGGTAGCATCCCATTTATGGTGAGATTAAGCGTTAGATCTGGCCCATGTGACACTTCCGTGACTGGCACGAAGTCCTGGGAACAGATACACGCCAATGGAAGCTCCACGTCAGCCCACGGCCACTCAGACACAGCCAGGGACATGTGCGAAGCTCCTCCAGGTATACAACGCTGGGCCTTCGTCTGCCGGTTTACTTGTGTCCGGCAACCGGATGATCCGGTGAGAATACTGTTAATTGTGAGACGTACCACCTGGTCAGGAGCCCCAAGCAGTCGCCATGAGCAGGACACGGCAGGGCGTCCTCCACGACCATATAGGAACACGTCCCGAGGTGCCGTAAAGGTGATGTTGCCATGAGTCTCTCCGTCACTCCTGATGACACGCATACAGGGGTCACCTGCCCACTCACCTGTCTGACCACGGTCCACGAACTCGTACCTGGGAATAAACCATTCATCGTTATCATGTTAATAGTAATAAATCATATTAATAATAAACGGTGTGTGTGTGTGTGGGTGTGTGTGTGAAACATTTAGATTCAATAAAAATATAAATGGCTATTTCCTAGTGTTTGTATATTAAACAAGAGACCTTACGGTCGGAGATAATGAGTTCACTATGTTCTTATTTTCAGTAATATTAAGTTTAAGGATTAATCAACTGATAGAAATGACTGGTTTTGTAAGGTTTTTTAATCTCCTTATCACATGATCAATTAAGTTATTCAGATTGATATATACAATGATGTGCGAGCATGTAATATAGGATCTTACCTAAGCATAAACGAAACTTTTGTGACAATGCTGCCGTCCCCGAAGTATTGGGACATGCTTAAGCTGCTACCTTTGGACACGTAAGACTCGTTCTTGCCGCAGGGACGCACGTTGGCCTCCTCTAGGAGCCTTCGGGCACGGTCACAGGTGCGTAGTTCTGTGTCGTGGCAGTGGTGGTCGATGATCTCTCCGTCTGGCCACTCTCCGTCACTGATTGTCAGCTGCGTCGCGCACATTTTTGCTTGAAGCTTTGTGAGCTGAGTTTGCCTCAAGTAGTGCACGAAGGTGATCCACACCACCTGGCCGGGTGATCCCAAGAACTGCCACACGCATGTACTGTTGGGTGGCACGCTGTGGGTAGCACCCTCTACCCACCCAGTAGTATTGTCGCTGCTTCGAAATTCCACCCTGCAGTCCTCGCCGATAGCTGCCGTGGGTATGAACCGTGTCTCAGCTCGCAGCTCGAAACCCGACACATGTGTCCAAGGAACCTCGTGGTGCGGAAAGTCAAACGGCGAGGTGGTGAACTCTATCAGGACGTCTGGTCCGGACGAGATAATTTCTGGCACGACGTCCCCCCGGCAGAAGGTAACCAAGACGGGCGAAGTAGTTGATTTGCCGTCATATACACGCACATAGTCGCCCACATAGTAACAGTCTGCATAAAGCTTGAGGTGACGTTCAGTAGTGTCGTGGGACTGCACCAGGCTCTTCACGTGCACCAGGTGACCGTCTTCTTGACTGAGAGAGATAATAGCCCGCTTTCCAGGTGGGGACCTGGTCTGGCTGAGATAATAATAACAAGTGGTGTTTCTTGGGTACATTCCGGGAAAGTTAGGCGACTGCACGTAACACGGGCGCTGGTCACAGTTGGTAAAGAGTGCATTGCAGACAGTAGTCTTGTCTCGTAAGCCCAGGTACTTTGGCTCCGTTGGTTTCCCATACCTCACGACAGCTGACTCCCGACGCAGGAACTTATAAGACATTTTGAAGTAGAAACTAGAAAAGGCGTCGAGGGCGGTGAGGTCGTTGTCGGTGGGCAGCCGTGTGATGATGACCGAGACAGAAGGCGTCTCTGAGTAGTACATCTCCAGACCCATGCCGTTCCCACACCAATACCCTGGCCTGCGAAAACAAGTAAACATCCAGGGTCAGTCTTGAAATCGCTTTTATGAGCAACATATAAAAAGAGTAAGTTCTCTACATATAGATATCAAAAGTTAATGCCATTGACCCCCACTGTAGGAACAACCGTCATGGTCTGAGATACATGGTAATATATACTGTAATGTTAATTCTTCACCACACAAGCAGCGTTATAGTCAGAAGTATTTACTCTCACACCATGAATTTTGCAGGAATATGAATATAATTTTTTCATTGGTTGAACATAACAAGAGTAACGATAAATCTTTACTGTAAACCAAAGCTGCAAACAACACTATTATCATGCATTTTTTTTAACCCATCACTAAGAGCTGGTCTGTTAACTTTCTACGGAAAAGCAGAAAAAATTAAGTATTATGTGGATGGATTGAAGAAACTAGTTTCTGACTCTGAAGTGTCTTTAATATCCCATAAAACCTCAAGAGTGCACTTTTTGTACGATGATATTTATTCAGATGATAGACCACGAACCTGTGAAATGTACCACATTAAATCAGATTCATGTGCTCAGAATCCTAGTAAAGAAAGACTGGGTCTACAAGCAGTGATAAGCAAAGCATTTTTTTTCTAAATTTTAATCTGTATTTGTTCGACCTTTTGCAGGTATTTTTTAATGGTATAATATAATTAGATAATTGAATAAAGAACGGTAAGAGAAAAACATTAAAATGAGGTGGAGAGTGAATTTGGTATTGATATGAAGAAGTGTACGATGAGATGTGTGGGAGGTAACCCGCGTGGGAATCTTTTACAATAAACACTACACTGCTACAGGGTGTACATCGCTAAAATATTCTCCCAAGCCATTTATAACAACATCACAAGATGAAACAGGAATATGAGGAGTCTAAAGAGCCACCACTGAACTTATTGGTATTAGACACATCACTTTCCTTACGATAATGTGTATATTTATGCTACCCGTCTATACGAGTGTTTGTCTAGGTCATCCCTGGGCGTGAAAGCCTTTGATAAAAAACCGCCTCTTAAATATAAATAAATATAGAAAAAACACAAATATGAGGAGAAACGTCATTATGGTAAGTAGAGACTGGAAGAACAGGAGTGGGAGAGAACGAGAGAATGAGAGTGGAGGGTTGGGTCAAACAGGTGAGGTGAGAGAGTAGGTAAGGGCTATCACCAGGATTGAAGGATGTGAGAGAAGTAGACCAAGGGGTGACTCAAGAGGCCACGAGCTGTAAAGATTATGAGAGGTGTTGTAATGAGGGAGCAGAGAAGAAAACGGGCGTTGTGAGAGGTAACGTCAGAGGCGGAGAGAGACGATGTCATGAAAGAGAGGAGGAGAAAATGAAAGTTGAGAGGTCTTGGTCCAGGTGAAAAAGAAAACGGTTGATGAGACAGGTAGAGCAGAAAACAGGGCAATATGAAAGTCATGAAGAAAATGGGAAATGATACAGGTAGAGTAGAAAATGGGAGATATGAGTGATGCTGGGGAAAATATTCGTAGAGTTAACAAGAAAGCTTAGTGTCGAAAAACAAATGGATATCATCAAATGTATTATAGTAGGAAGACAAAAACGCAAACAAGAAATTACAGTAATACAAAAAACTCTGAATACACGAAGCAAAGTTAAAAACCAAAAGAATTCTAAAGCAAAAGATCAAGGAGAGGAGAATAACGAGTAGATTATTTTTATTATGTTCAGTGCTTCATTCCTTATCGTCCTCAAATCTACTATACTATGACCTAACCTAACCTAACCTAACCTAATTTAGCTTGCAAGAATGGGGCCCAGTCTTGACGGAAAAAAAAATCTGAATAGGCCCAAGTCATACTCTAACTTAACAGTCCCAGTCGTAATGGACCCATTTTCTGATAGGCCCCAGTCAGAATACACAGTGGTATATGGTCTTAATGCTAATGGGTCTCAGTTCTAATTGTAATTTCAGGTTAGGCAGGGAACGTACGACAACTTGGGTCGTTTGCCTTGTAATTAATAATAAAGGTGATGTCGACGGAGGAAGAGAACGGAGTTAAACAGTATATGAAACGAACAAACCAAACACAGGAAAAAGCAATAGTAATAATAATAATAATAATAATAATAATAATAATAATAATAATAATAATAATAATAATAATAATAATAATAATAATAATAATAATAATAATAATAATAATAATTAACGGTTTATTGAAAAAGTTCTTCAGCCCGAAGGCTGAAAATATACATTGGACATAAATGACTTATTACATACATTGGTGGTTTAACAAAAGCCTTCATTAGAGAAAGGTAAAGGAACATACAGTGAACATACAGATTAATGTAGGTGTTGAACAGCAAACACGTAGTGTAGTAACTCCCTCCCAGATGGTGTTAGGAGGGACCTCACGTGGTGTAGTAATTCTCTCACAGATGGTGTTATGAGGGGAATCACGTGGTGTAGTAATTCCCTCACAGATGGTGTTATGAGGGATTCACGTGGTGTGGTAATTCCCTCACAGATGGTGTTATGAGGGGTCTGACGTGGTGTAGTAATTCCCTCACAGATGGTGTTATGGGGGCTTCACGTGGTGTAGTAACTCCCTCACAGATGGTGTTATGAGGGGCATCACGTGGTGTACGAATTCCTCACAGATGGTGTTACGAGGGGTCTGACGTGGTGTAGTAATTCCCTCACAGATGGTGTTATGAGGGACCTCACGTGGTGTAGTAATTCCCTCACAGATGGTGTTATGAGGGACCTCACGTGTTGTAGTAATTCCCTCACAGATGGTGTTATGAGGGACCTGACGTTGTGTAGTAATTCCCTCACAGATGGTATTATATGAGTGAGGTGTGGTACCAGGCCTTCCTATCGTAGACGGATTAACACATCGCTGGTTGTTGTTGGGTCTCACGGGCAGTTATCACTGGCTACCTGGGACCTCACTGTGTGAAGATAAACTTGGGTACGACTCTGCTGTTACTGTTGAGTTGATCTCACTGACTTAAACACTGTTCACCACTGTTCACCACTGTTCACCTCTGATCAACACTGGTTCCATTCCTTTCCTAAATGAAATTGTAACTTCTTGCGAGAACTTGCTGATATTCCGGTGGGGAGGAGGGTTCAGGGGAGGGAGTTGGTATGGGCCAACTTAACAGTTGACCTGGCTGCTCCCAGAGGAGCGTCAGGTACGTCGTGACCCTTCGGTGTGTGTGTGTGTGTGTGTGTGTGTGTATTCGCACACAGGGTGAAATGCATCAAGTATGGCAGCATTATGTTAGGGTTAAGGTGCAAGCACTGCTTCCTTCCCCTCGCTTTCAGCTACCGCCGCTGGTTAGCCTTCGTGGCGAACAGGGAAACAGCTTGCATAAGTCTTCACCATCAAGACACCTGCTGAGCCTCCTCGTGGCAACACAGGGCAAATGGATGTCTCGTTGGCCCAGGCTAGACCAGGCTAGACCAGCAGGGGATCTCGGAGTAGCAGTGGGCCCCCGGGGAAAGCCGCATAGGCCCAATGACATGTGGACACGTCCTGGCGCCTCCCAACCATTGCCCAGTTGCCTTGTGGATTAACCTTGGTAGGTATAAGGCTACGGGAGTAAACTATGAAAAAAATCTGCGTTGGAGCCTCGCATCAGCCAGACATGCTTACAGAGCTCCAACAAGACCTCAACTGCTGTATAGGCGGAAGAGGTGACCACCATGGGAACCCAACGACTACAATGGCAGACGAAGGTAATGCCTGATGGACTGGCTACTAATTCGAAACCCAACAAACTGGGCTATCAGCAGTCCATTGCAACTCTCCCTCTCCTCAGTCATTGCAACACTTGCACCGATAGATCAGGGAAAGGAAGAGCCAAGGTGTGTGTATGCAGCCTGTGCTCCTGCCTCACCACATAAATCAACTCACGTGCAGCCATCATCCAGCTCATCATATCTCTCAACATCATCAAAAACCCCTATACCCCCAAAAGTCCTATGGCAACGGATGAGTGGCGACAGGGAAAGGCAGACATGAGTGCAGGGAGTCTATGGTCACAGCTCTGCACGAGGGCGGCACAGATAAGATGGTCGTTTATGTACTGGGATCTAGTCAGCAGTGCAATCCGGTCCTGTCTGTGTGACTGAGCAGCCCTATCGAGGAGCCGCTCTCCTCACCCCACATGGGGAGGGGTCTAGAAAGGTTTCCCTAAACATAGCCTGCCTAATAAAACAACCTGACTGGGCAACCGCACACATTAAGGGCATCCTTATGTGGTCGAAAACATAATAAAAAGACAGATCCAATCAAAAACAAACTTATTGTCGCTGAATGGAATGTCAAAACCCTTCTGGATACTGGCACAAATGGGCATCCTGAAAAAAACCGCCCTTGTGGCAAAAGAGCTGGCGAAGTATAACATCGATATAGCAGCCATTATTGAGTTCTGGCTCCCAGATGAGGGTCAACTCACAGAACCGGGGTCTGCCTTTACCTTCTTCTCGAAGGATAAGCCTGATGCGGAGAGAAACTGCATTTATCGAGTTGACTTTGACATCCGCCAACGCATCTTACACAAGCTAACTGAAATGCCTATTGGGATCAACGAGTGCCTCATGACGCTTTGAATCCCACTGAATCACTAACGTCAGGCCTTTTTCCTCAGTGCATACGCCCCAACACTGGATGCACAGGATGCGTCAAGGAGGACTTTTACGCCGACCTCGACAGAGTACTAACCTCTATTCCCAGAGAAGACAAGGTCGTACTCCTTGGTGACTTCAATGCCAGAGTGGACTAGGCAAGTGTAATCCCAAAAGGCTACTCCTACTTGGCAAGTGTGCTGCACACAACCTCACTATTACCAATACCTTGTTTAGGCAGGCCGAAAAGTTCAAGGGTTCGGGGCAACACCCACGATCCAAATACTGGCATCTCATTAACTACAGCATTCTCAGAGAACGAGATCGCAGAGATGTCCTCATCACCAGTGCCATGCTTGGTTCAGAATACTGCTCAACTG